ACCTAACTATTTTTTCTATTGTTCTGATATTAATTATTGTTCTTGCTTGAAGTTTTATTTAAGGATATACTAAAGTGTTGTGGTACCTCGAGTCTAATTCCCTTAAAAATGGGTTTTTTGTCCAAAACAGACCAAAAGTATCGATACTATCCTAAGAGTATCGATACTCATGCAAAATTTTGATACTTTATATAAGTACCGATGCTTTTAAACATTCTGTTCTGCCTAGTTTTGAAACTTTCTGGGAGTTTCGAAACTATGACCCAAAGTATCGATACTCTTGAAAGAGTATCGATACTCTTGCCCAGAAACTCACGGGTTTGCCCGAGAAGACGAACAATTTTCGATACTATCCCTCAAGTATCGAAACTCAACCTGCAGAGAGCATAAAATAGGTGCAAAAACTCCTTTTCTACTATCCCAAACATTATTAATGTTTTATGGAGATACAAAGGAGAATAAATAGGGCTTTAAACATGTTTATAACCCTAAAATATGAAATCTACCTTGGAGATGCTTTAAGCTTATGCAACCTACTACATTTCATCTAAATGACTTACATATGGTATAGTTGAGTCAAGAGTGAGTTACCTTTGATGTTATACTGCTGGAAACGTCAAAAGCTCAGCCCAAAGTAAGCTTTTCCTTCCCCTTAGCTTTGGAGCCTTCTCCAACCTCTTGCACTAAACAAAACCAAATGCAAAGGTTACTAACTATTGCTAGGGATTAAGGAGGGTTTTAAAAACACTTTCTAAGACTAGAAATATCTAAAAAAAAGGGGTTGGAACGATCTAGTTTTCTTAAACCTTTCTAAAACATGTTTTGAAAACTATGGTGACATGGGTGGTTTGAGAGCTTGAACCAAAGCTTGAAATGCAAGGGTTATGATTCTTACCTTTAGAGCACAAGTTAGAGACTGGAAAATGATAAAGTTAACACCTTTACTTTGCAAAGGAGGAGAAAAACGGGAAGAAGAAGATATGAAGAAGACAAGGAAGTGAAGAAAAATATGAAGCTTTCATCAGACAATGATATCACCCAATCTTAATGAAGCTTTACAAACGCGACACGACATGTGTGAGATAAAGAATTTTTTTAACGATAATGATATATTAGGCACTTACAACGATAATGTTGATAACGTTAACATTTATAATGACCAAAAAAAATTAGACAACTAAATAAAACAATACATTTTGAGAATTCTTTTATATTAAGCATTTTTTAAAAAAAGAATTACAATTTTAATACGATAAATAATTATTTAAAACATTGTCTACACATATTAAATTCTTTTTTTAAGTTAGAATTATTTAAGTGAGTGAATTTAAATGAAATAATTTATTAAAAATATAATTTTTGGAATTGTAATTTGATAATAAAATTTGCTTAAGTTAAAAGTTTGTCACTCATATAAAATGTAAAACTTAACTTTTAAACTCTATTTTTTGTTTAATTAATTTTAAATTATTAATATTTTAAATATTACGAAAATTGAATCTACAGAAGATTGATTATGAATCTGAAGTATCATAGGGTTGATAATGGTAACGTCAGAGAATTTAAATATCTCGTTGATGATTTAGTTATTGAAATACTAAGGCGGCTCCCGCCGAGCACCTGTGGCGGAGGTGTCGACTGATTTTCCGGGGATGGAATGCTCTCCTCTCCTCTCCTTCTTTTGCCCATGCACATCTCCAACAATCTCCTACTGTCTTTGCTTTTTACCAATGGTACGGGAAAGTGGATTTCTTTCTTCCTCACGATGATGACGGCGACGATGATGATGATGAGGAGGCATCATTGTTTATCGAAAGGGCTTTTGATGTTCAAGCTGTTGTTCCCATTGCTTCTTGCAATGGGTTGGTTTTGTTTAAATCTTGCAGGTATTCTCGTTCTTCAACTGAATTCTACGTCGGAAATCCGATCACCGGAGAATTGATAACTCTGATCCATCCGTATAAGATAGGCTGTTTCTGTGGATTCTTTTATGACTCTCGAACACAAGAGTATAGGTTGCTCCATTGTCGTAGGACGGGTAGCAGCAGCACAGACATTATTCTTGAATATGAATATGCCACACTCACCTTAGGCTCTACCAAATGGAGAACCCTCTGCACCCTTCCTTACGGTGTTCGACTCGGATCATCGCCGGTGATACTCAATAACACTCTTTATTGGATGACCGGGGAATATCCGCACTCTAATGCTACTCACTCCACATGTGAAAATTCAATCATGATGTTCTCCATGGAAACTGAAGAGTTTCATACAATGTCTCTCCGAGTTACCGATGCGAAAGGAGACGATGCGACCGGCGGTTGAAGCTGCTAGAGATGAATGGCCGGCTAACATGATTTTGTTTCCTGGGACAAGTGGTTCATGTATGGGTTTTCAATCATACCGAAGGGCATTATACTCGAGTCTATGATCTCGATTTTAATCAAAGTTTTAAAAACTATATCTTCCCATGTGATCTCCCTCAAGATAATCACAAAGTTCAACTTGTATGCTAATTATTGGCTTCCTGCTGCTGTGGTGGGTGTAAACTAGTTTAATATCATATACATGTATGCTAAATTTGATGGGAGCCATGGATACTATGTTTATATCTACATATTTTAAAGTCAATTATTAAAGGAACAGAATTTTATGCAGTAAACCATGTTATTTGTGCAATAATCACCAATGGTACCTGTTATATCCTTTCAAATCTCCTTCGTTCCGCACATCAAGACTTTCGAATTTCTCCCGAGGGGCAGAACTTGGGGTGAAGTTGTTTGTTCCGCACATCAAGACTTCCGAATAACTTCTTGTATAATTTGGAGTGAACTTATCGTGATCTAGAGCTTGCAAAACATGCTGTCAAATATTTATAAATAGGATCAGCGGCTTACCGGATGATGTTCTCGGCCACATTCTGTCCTTTTCGGAACCAAGGGAGGCTTTCAGAACCATTATGTTATCGAAATGATGGGAGAAAGGTTTAGACTTTGAATCATAACATTAACTTGAATAATCAATCATGTATGAGGAAGTTAAACAAGATGCCTACTACCTTGTTTTAATGCCGAAACCTGGTAACTCTAAACTTAGATTGCATTTACTCGAAGAAATATACATGGATCTTGAACAATCAGAACCCGATTTTAGCGAAGATCGGAAGTTTTTTTTTTGTTGCTTTAATTTTATTGAAGATTCTAAGATGGAAATGGAAAGTTTGTTCTATCAGGTTTGGTAGTTTTTATGTCGTTGAAGCACCAAAGCTTGAATGAATATCTTCAACGTTTGCAATAATCATCCTATGAAACTGATATTCATAGTTTTGGAATATTATCAATGAGTTATTTCTAATTTTGATGTTGTTCATCTATTTAGGATATAGCAGGTAGCTCTCGGTTAACCGGCTTCCTAGGTATGGTGGCTACCATCTTCATTGGATCTGTTGATGCAAAAGGATCCGGTGGCATTGTAAGAACATCCAAGTCACCTTCTAACATCTGAACCACCTCTTTCATCGAAGGCCGGTCGACGGGATACCATTGAATGCACCAAAGGCCAACAATGGTGACCTTCTCTGCTACCCCTGTTTGTTCTTCATCTTCAATTCTGATCCTCAGCTCCTCATCTTTACAAACACTTATAGGCCCATTCCGGGAAGTACACTTGACTTGTATTCTCCATCGTAATGTCTATGTTCCTTCTCCCTCCGACCATTTCAAGCACTAACATTCCGAAACTAAAAACATCAGATTTATACGAGTCGGTGCCGAAGTTGCGAGACAGTACCTTGGGTGCAATGTATCCCATTGTTCCTCTTGCAGTTGTCATTGAAATAACATTTTGTTCCTTGGAGCACAAGTTATCAAAGGCCAAAATCAGGCATCTTAGGGTTGAAGTTGTGATCCAATAGAATGGAAATAGCAAGTGTCTGCTTATACCAATAGCAATGTTTTGTCATGTCTTCATGGAAATAGCAAGTGTCTGCTTATACCAATAGCAATGTTTTGTCATGTCTTCATGGAAATAGCTCTCTGGTCAGCTTCCCGGAAGTTTCCTTTTCCGTTGTAAAACCGGTGACAAGACAGTCAACAAAGACTTTAAAGTCAACCTTGTCAATTACTACTTTCCTTGCACTGAGGGGCCGTGAAGGGACCCGTCGGCCGTCCAGTCGCAGTCTGATAGTAAATGCTCAAGTCCAATGACCGACTTATATTGAACTTTTTTCCAACTTTTGCTTTATTAGTTGGCTGACTTTTCAAAGGAAGATGTTGCTTTCAGTTACAGCCACAGAATAAATGATTGGCAGTGAAGATTAAAGAGAACATCCCATTGTTTATTTCCTCATCGGAGTTCCACCGGAACTTCATGATGCTAAGCCCCAAACATCTCTTGTTTAGCTTCTTGGCCCTTACTTTATATCTATCTGCGGATGTTTCCGATGCTAGACCAGGCAAAAGCAACCAGTGCGGCCCTTCTTTGTGTGGAAACGTTGAAATCAGATGGCCTTTTCGACTGAAAGGTCAGCCTCACAAGTGCGGTGACAAAAGGTTTGAACTTGAGTGCAAGGGAAACCGCACGGTCAGTTTTCCCATGAAATATGGGAAATTTTATGTCCTAGACATCTCTTACGTTAACCAAAGGCTTCGACTTGTGGATGCGAGTCTGGTGGATGGTAACTGCTCGATTCCTCGCAGTTCTATACCTTTTTACAACAACTATTATGAAGATATAATAGACCCAGCTTCCACCATGTATGTGGTAAATTGCACGACAAAGATGAACTCTTCGGTTTATGTTGATGCTTCTCGTTGCCAAACCATTAGCTCTTCCTCTCCATGGACCTACAGCTACTTCTTCATTCCGGGGTATTATTTAAACATGTCCGATTTCCATCTCTCCTGCAGATTTGTAGCGCAGTTCCCGTTCATGCTTTCCAATATTAGTGGCTTATCCACTTCTGATATTTACGAAAACCTCTTGAAAGGCGTTGACGTGCTCTGGTATGTACCAGGCAGTCTTTGGTCTTCAAACCTGATTCTCAAAGTACTTCTTACTTTCCCAACTATTTCTCTGGCAATATCAGGTACTTCTTACTTTCCCAACTATTTATGATATTATTATGTATGCACGTCTTGTCCCCCTAATAACTATAGGTAGATAGGTTATAAAAAAATTTAGGCATTTAATCTTATTATATCACTTGGGTGGTAAATCGTAAATGGAAGGGTGACATTACAATCACGTGTGTTTACATGCATTACTAATCACGTCATTTTGAAATAATTCAAAATTCAAACACAAATGATAAGGTTAGTAAATAATTGGATAATTACTTGCAAACTTAATGAGTGCTGATATATAATCTTGCGTGTGTGCTTCTTTTTGGGAAACAGGCATAATATTAGCAAGAACTTGTTGGGGATATGTTGTTTGATTGCACTTGTTACACACAAGTTAAGGAGAAGACACTTATCAATGGATGATAGCATTGAAAATTTCCTTCAAAGTCAAAACAATTTCATGCCTATCCGGTACTCTTACTCTGAAATCAAAAGAATGACAGAAGGTTTCAAAGTTAAACTAGGACAGGGAGGGTTTGGTTCCGTGTTCAAAGGAAAGCTCCGTAGCGGTCGGTTGGTGGCGGTCAAAGTGTTGAGCAAATCCAAAGCAAACGGAGAAGATTTCATCAGCGAAGTTGCTACCATCGGAAGGATTCATCACGTTAACGTGGTGCAACTTATCGGATTCTGCGTCGAGAGATCGAGACAAGCTCTTGTGTATAATTTCATGGCGAATGGATCGTTGGACAAGATCATATTCTCAAAAGAGACCTGCACTTTAAGCTGGCCAAACCTGTTGGAGATTGCACTCGGTGTGGCTCGAGGGATCGAGTACTTGCACAAGGGGTGTCAAATGCAGATTCTACATTTCGACATAAAGCCGCACAACATTCTCCTGGATGAAAACTTTGTCCCTAAAGTTTCTGATTTCGGACTTGCAAAACTATACTCAGTCGATGACAGTATCATCTCTCTCACGGCCGCTCGTGGAACAATGGGGTACATTGCTCCTGAATTGTTTTACAAAAATATTGGAAGCATCTCATACAAAGCTGATGTTTACAGTTTCGGGATGTTGTTAATGGAAATGGTGGGAAGAAGAAAGAATTTGAATGCATCAGTGGAACATTCGAGTCAGATTTATTTCCCGTCATGGATATATGATCGGTTCGATCGAGGGGAGAGCATGGAGTTGGAAGACGTGACAGAAGTTGACGAAAAGATTGCGAGGAAACTGATAATGGTTGCGTTCTGGTGCATACAAATGAACCCCACTAATCGTCCTTCGATGAGAAATGTGTTGGAAATGCTTGAAAATGAAGTTGAGCCCCTTGAACTGCCTCCTAAACCTTTACTGTTTTCTCTCGATACGTCGAGTGAAGATCGTAGTAAGAAGGATGCCATGGACAAGGCAACTGCATCGAAAAGTTCTTTCGACCTGTAACTGTAATGTTTGATTGTACTAGGAATATGTGTATGTATAGCTATAGTTGAAATCAGTTGATAAAGGGAAGTATACTAAAGGTTGGTTGTCAAGTTAATTTACTTATCATATATAAGGCTAAACATAGCTTTTGCAGTAAGCTTAGTGAGTCAATTTATGCAGTCCCCAATGGAAGAACATGAAGAAGCAGTGTTTTGAATTCTGAGAAACTTGAAGTGTTTGGCATTATTGTGTAAAAATGTGGTTAAAAATTGAAATATAAAAAGTAGATGTACGAAATAGTAAACATTTTCATTCCAAATGCCAATTTTCAAAAGTCCAAATGTGATGGAAATACCAAAATCATTACAATTAAGTTGTTGTCTCTCCCAAAATTTATTGGTTTAATCATATTTTTGAACCCTTTTAAGTTTTAAAATGAAACTGTCTTGTATATTTTTGGTTTAATAACTCTTTAAGGCCCTTCAGTTTTAAAATTAGTGAAATTAAACCAGAATTCCTTTAAATTTCATGGTCTATTCAATTTTAAAGACCCTATTTATTTTAAACCATAATTAACCCCCTATTAATTCAATCTTAACTCAAACACTGTCTGAAACCCTGTATAGGTCGCCAACATTAAACCATGCATATATACATATAATGAATGCATATAATTATTTATTCCAACATTAGTTTGGAAGAAGATATAGTTGTCGCCAAGATAAAAGAGATGTGGAATTGGGACAGCATCCCTTTTCATTGTAATGCCATGATGAACACTCCATTTTCCTTCAACTCGGACTTCTTTTAAGCTTAACTTTTATTAATAAACGAAAAGGTTACAACACCACCATAAAGCTAGTAGGAAAATAACAAAAGCAAGGATTATCAATGATTAATAAGTTGTTGTGTTGTAGTGGTCGTCACGTCGGTCTTATACACTGAAGGCCCTCAGTTGAAACCTAAGCAGCAACATTATTGTTTTTAGATGATAGTATGCTGAATGCTGAACACAGCTATGCAGCCTATGCTGATCATTCAATGATGTTTTACTGCCTGTGATTATTTTTTTCATATGTGGTTTCCTGCAGATGCTTAATGAAGAGGATGATAATTTACCAGAGTTCTGCAATTTGAACCATTAGAGAATAGTCAGTTGTAAAGAGGTGTCTTCCATTCTTCAACATTCACCTCATTTGAAGCATCTGATCTTTGTTGGCGTATGTTCATTTTGAGGATTTCATTCACTTTGAATGATGATATTGGAGTATTCTAGAGATTGGTAGCTGTTGTAAGAGTAGTTAGCTGGCAAAACCTAATCTGTTAGAGTGATTAGGTGCGCTTACTCCTTTATACTCTTGTATGTATATTGTCAATGATAATGAGAGTATTATCCACTGAATATTAAAGAATATCTTTCCCATTTCTATTCTCTAGTTGCTTTCTTAATATGGTATCTTTCGCCTTCTGATCTTGGAGCCATCTTCTTTTTCTCCGCTGCTCACTTAAGGTTTTCTTGGTTCTTTCTCTAGTTGTCTTCTTCCTTCTGGCTGTTCGTGCTCAAGGAGTCTTCTCTTCCTATTTTCTTTGTTGATCGAGATGAACACTGCGTCGGCGCTAGATCTTGGAGAATCATTGCGTCATGTCCGGATGTTCACGAATAAGCGAATCAACATTGTCTTGGATGAGATGAATTTTTTACTGTGGAAGCGGCAAGTGCTTGTAACAGTTCGGAGCCACCGATTGAAACGATTGCTCAATGGTGCTAGATTCGGAAGGTAACCTTGTCCTTAATGATGATTATGAAACCTTTGTTGCACAAGAAAGTGCACTGGCGTCTTGGTTGATCTCCACTATCAGTGATCAGATATTGCCTCAGTGTGTGGGAGCTAAATCAGTAGCTGATGTTTGGGCAACGGTGCTGAAGTATTTTGCAAATCGGTCGACAATGAGTATGATGAGCCTGCATTCCAAGATCAGATCTATCAAGAAAGGTGAGGACAGTATGCAATCGTATCTTACTAAAATCAATGGGATTTGTGATGCTCTTGCAGCATGTGGGAGTACTATATCTGATCTTGATCAGAGTGTTACTATTATAAACGGCTTACCATTTGAGTATCAACTGTTTGTGGCAGTAATAACTGCTAGCAAAGATGCTATAATCTTCCCCTCATTCATCCCTTGTGTTAGCGTAACAGTTGGGGACGAGTATAGGACTCGAACTCGACGGATTTCGATCTAACCCGATTCGAGTTTTAATTTTTAAAAAAGAATCGGGCTTGGGTCGGGTTGAGTCGGGTTTTTAAAGGTTGTGTCCGAGTTGAATCGGGTCGAGTTCAAGTTTAGGGTAAAAAATATCCAATCCCACCTGATCAGGAAAAAATATAATTTTATCTTATATATTTAGAAATAATTACAATAATATGAGGTTCATATTTTATCTCAAAAAATCAAATTAAATTTGAATAGAGTAAAATGTATATTTTTTTTATCGAATCGGATTGGACGAAGTATGTGAAACTTTTAAGTCAGATCAAGTTAACCAAAACCTGAACCAGACCTGTGCCCATCCAGTTAGATTCGATTCATAATATACCTACATGGTCGTTACAAAATATTAAGCGAAACAGGCCACTTTTAGCAGATCCATTCATTCCATAATTTGAACGGCCCAGATTTCGTCCTTTGTGGCCAACTACCCCCGATCCATAGCACTTTGATGGGTACAAACTCGGATCAACTCAGTGACTCACCAACTCACCCTCTATTTTATACCCCCATCCATCAAACAAGCAATTTGATTGTTAATATTGAAGATTCAAAAATTACTTCTACTGGAGGAATTAAATCATGTTTATCTTCGATTGGTTCTATGGGATCCTTGCTTCCCTGGGGTTATGGCAAAAGGAGGCCAAGATCTTGTTTTTAGGGCTTGATAATGCCGGCAAAACCACGCTGCTTCATATGCTCAAAGATGAGGTATTTTTCATAAACCATATCAATACACCGTTTTAGGGGACTAGATTTGTGTTGATATTATTGGGTTTTCTTTTATAGTTCTATATGTCTGATCTAATTTGATTCAGAATAATTAATGATATGCATCTTGTTCTCTCTTTTACTGTTGATGGAATTTGGTTGAGATTAGTCCTTTTAGCTGGAAGGGTTTTAAATTGTTATTTATTCGGGAAAAATAGAGTAAAAATAGTTACGGATTGGTTGATTGTTTTCTTCATTAATAAGATGATTGAAATCTGGTGTTTAATGGATGTTGGTAATGGGATTTTGCAGAGATTAGTTCAGCATCAGCCGACACAGCATCCAACGTCCGAGGAATTGAGTATTGGGAAAATCAAGTTTAAGGCTTTTGATTTGGGTGGCCATCAGATTGCTCGAAGAGTTTGGAAAGATTACTACGCCAAGGTACATTTCTTTTATGTTGTTCAGATTCGAAGTACCCGTGTCCGATGCTCGTGCCTGAATCCTGTGTCGGACGCTTACGAGCATACGAGGATATGAATATGATCTCTGGACATCCTCTAAATATAAATTTAACAACAATTGTGTTGGATACTAGTCCAGCACTCGCACTCGAAGCCGAGTAACATAGCATTTCTTTTAGCTGAAAATCCATGTGATAATGTTCAGTGTTTAGACAAACTATGCCTTTCTCATCCAATGTTTAGTTGCTATTTTGCTCCTTTTTTTAAAGTATTTATTCAGGTTGTAGAGAATAGATTCCATTAGTATATGACTGGCATCTTTTATGATTTGAACATTAGGTGATAAGTCGTAAACGCATTAATCCGTTGTTCAACTATGATTGAATATGGTCAATAATTTAGTTGTAGTATTCGTCTAGTATGCTACCTTTTTTATATTCAACTTCAGGATCTGAATGATTGCCGGAGCTTCTTGTTCTTGTCATAGTCTTTTTTCCGAATGTGCCTCTATAATCCCAGATAATAGTTCTTGTGATTATCTGATTCATGAGGGGCAAAGAATAAGAATGCGGAGTTCGCTGATAGAGTCTTTAATTTCGGAAAAGGGTGCTTTGATGATAGTACCTCACCGCACACCATATATTTTCGCTCTGTCAAGATTACAACCGGAAAACGAAACTGGATTTTTCTCTTTTTTATTTCAGTCTTCAGTTATACATACACTGATTCTTTTGCTCTAAAAAGGCCTTGCAAATTTTCAGAGGCTCAGCTATAACCAGTGCCATGTTATGAAGGAGAGCATGATTGCCAAAACATTTACTATTTTCTTTTTAATGCAGAGCATAACGAAAGTGATACGAAATTTGTTTGTAGGTGGATGCGGTTGTGTACCTGGTGGATGCTTATGACAAGGAAAGGTTTGCCGAGTCGAAAAGGGAGTTGGACGCTCTTCTCTCAGATGAATCTTTAGCTAACGTTCCGTTCCTCATCTTGGGCAACAAGATCGATATACCATACGCTGCCTCTGAAGATGAGCTGCGCTATCACCTTGGCCTGACCAATTTCACTACAGGCAAGGGTAAGATCAATTTGGGAGACTCGAACGTCCGCCCCCTCGAGGTATTCATGTGTAGCATTGTTCGTAAAATGGGTTACGGAGATGGTTTCAAGTGGATTTCTCAGTACATTAAGTAGGTAGCTACACAGGAAATATAGACATGCTTTCGTTCTTAATGTTTATTTTTATACTGAATCGAATCGAACGCTTTCAGAAATCGTTGTTGCAGGTGTTTCAAACCTTACTTTCTCCCCTTCTCTGGTCCCATTTGTTTTCTTTCCTTACATTTTTGTTCTAACTGGTAAACTTCGTTCTTTACCATACAGCGAGACATAGAAGTAATTGATGATTTGGGACCTAACTTGTGCTATCTGCTTATTCTTAATGGCTTTATTTGAGACTGAAACAATAATGTTTCAAATAGCATTTTGGGCTTTAAAAATGTTCAGGGACGAATACCATAATATTACCTAAAATTTCAAAAAGGTGAGATGGTAGGACTTCCTTAAGCCACTGCATATCCTTTTTTTTTGGGACTTTCTGATTTCATGCATGTGGATTGAATATATAAACCACGCCCACCACAATTACATGTTTTATACTCCCAATTTTCGAACATGGTTTAATGGCACTAATGCCCCTGTACTTTGATAAAATTATCAATCTAGAATTCACACATTTCACCCCTCAACAATCTCACCTTATCACATTTCCTCCTTTAGAAGCAACACAAAAACAAAGGGAAAAAAAACATCAAATATATTAGGGTAAACAACATTGGTGGTCTTTTATGCCTTCAGTTTGTTCTATTTTTAGAAAGTGTACTTTTGATCCTTTATGTTATTAATTTAATACAATTTGATCCCTCGATTGTTAATGTTGGTAAAGATATTGTAAAATCAAATTGTTAGTAATGATTGGATAATAATAAACAAAAATAAAACGTAAGAAATAATCGTGGTATGAAACTATTGTTGTAGAAAAGATTTTGCCTCGATAGGTGTAATTGTTGCAGTAGACTTTGGTCCTCGAAATTAACACGTTAACTCCGAATAATCATATACTCGAAGATGTAGAGATGATGTAACCGTTCTTCTCTTAGCATCATAAAGAAGAAGCTTATAAAAGCTTTTAAGAAGAAAAGAGGATTTCAAATCGAGAGAAGTAGAAAATATTTTTGGATGATTTGAAAAACCGAAAATGGTCTTCTATTTATAGACTTTAATCGAGGTTAAAATCGTCAATTTAAAATATAATATAAATTCTGATTTTAATTTCCGTTATTAATAGCTGATAATTTGCAGAATTAAATCAGTTGTCGCTGGTTGAATCTTAAACCATTCAGGTTCCTAATTGCACTGAGCGCCTCCAATCTGCTCTCAATCCTTAGAAAGCCGAATCTTCTTCCACCTTTGCTTTTTCTGTTTGCGATTAATGCGTTTAGCACGACGCCAAATCTTCCGAACAACCGCCAAAGTCCTTTCCAATGGAGTTTCATTGGAAGGTTATCCACAAACAAGGTCGCTGTTCGTTGAGTTGAACGGAAAAAATCGAGTGATCATGGCATTACAAGCAAAAGGGATGCATGCAACCCCAATTTCACATCTTTTTTATGTTGGCGACAACTGTATCTTCTTCCGAGCTAATGTCGAAGAGTGCAACAAGACCAAGCCATCAAGGAATAAGAACTTTACATGCATTCATTATATGAATGCATGCATGGTTTAATGACGGCGACCTTTGCCTTAGAATACATACATTCATTCTCGGTACATTCATCCATTCAAGATCGAATGCTTCAAAGACTGGAACATTACAAGTCCAGGGGGGGAAAATAAACTGCAGGACAAACAAAATGACAATGTTGCTGCCCAGGATTGAGCTGAGGACCTTCAGTGTGTAAGATTGATATATCTCCCTTATTACTGGTATTAAGTCTAGGGTTGTAGGTTGACAGGATGAGTGGACATAGCTGTCATATAGTAGATTTAATTAGTGATGGAATTGACGACGGTCAGATCAAGGACTGCAACATTTCGAATAAGACATAGAACACTAGAAGTTCCCACAATTCCGACATCCTATAGACGCCCTTGGAAGTTCCCACAATTCCCTAAAAAGGAATTCCGAGGTAAAAATGTAGTGATACCAATCTTTTCCAATACCCTTCCCCTGAACAAAAGATATGAAATCATGTAAATTACATACCTTCTTTCCTCGAGACCAACTGGTTCAACGATTTCTATCGTTTCAAGGTGCGATATCAAACACGTCGGTGACGACTCTAGAGGTCTCCAGGTTAACTGTCGGCATAAGAAGTAACCCTGAGAAGGATTGGAACATTACATGTCTAGGGAAAAAGAAGTAGCAACACATCATTCAAAGTGAATGAAATCCTCAAACAAAATTAACTCACCTCATCAAAGATCAAATGCTTCAAATGAGGAAATGCTGAAGAAAGGAAGAGACCCAAAATGCATATCTTTACAACTACCTAATTCTCAAATGGTTCAAATTGCAAGCTACATATGAAAACAGTGAATAACAGCAAATATCATCTTTAAACAAATTGTTACTGCCCAGGATCAAACTGGGGACCTTCGGTGCGTAAGACTAACGTGATAACCACTACACTACAGTAACTTGTTGAACAATATTAATCTTTGCTTCTCCTATCTTTTTTTCTACTAGTCTTATGCCGGTGTTGTAACCTTTTTGTTTATTAATGAAAGTTAGGCTTAACAACAATAAGAGAAGTCCGAATTGAAGGAAAATGAAGTGTTCATGGCATTACCATTACCATAGTCACATGGATCGCGGTACGGGAACGTGGAACGGGTTCACAATTCGCTAGGTCCCTAAAATTCGGTACGAGGGGGTAGACTTATTTCGGATCGCTTCAGTACGATGTACCATATAAATTGGTACGATGTACCAGTTTCTTAGGTTGCTATTTTTCTACATCAAATTTTATAAGTAACTATAAATAGTAGGAATAAAATAAAAGAAATTAAAACTTCCTTAATAACTGAAATAACACATAAAAACAGGGATTTAAACAGATATTTACCCTTAACCAGAAACAAATATAAAAATTGAAGGTAAAATTAGAAATAAATCAGTGACCTAAGTACAAAATGTGCATAAGTTACAGGGTCCTATATACAATTTATCAAATTCGATTTAATCTAAAATAATATGTAAAATAACATAAATGGTACCTAAGCATTTAAAACAAAATCAGAAAATTGGGACGAATTAGGGACCGTTTTATAAATATTCACTAAATTACGAGGCCTAAACATAATTTACCCTAAGAATACGGTGACTAAATCCTAATTTAACCGAAAACCTAACTAAAGGTATTAAAATACCCAAACTACTCTCCCTCTTTTTTTTATAGGAACCCGACTCTCCTATCTTCTTCATCCTCCTATCTTCTTCTTCGACTGCATCATCGACAGCCGCCACGCCAAGGTTAGTTTCGCCTCGTTCATTATCTTCTTCAGCCTTAAACCGACCCCTGTCGTTCCCCCATTTCCTCTCCCTCAAGCTCCTCTTTAACACTCGACGAAACCCAAAGCCTTCATGCCATCCGCCGTCCTACGCTCCGATGAGGAGCTAGGACTCCATCTAAACCCAAATCTCGTACCGAATCTCGATTTTTGAAACGACTGGAACGCGATTTTGAAACGACTAGAACGCGTTTGTACCGCATTTCGGATCGCTTCGTACGGTACGCAGATCGTGGGCTGTTGAGCGATTTATGTGACTCTGGGCATTACAATGAAAAGGGATGCTGCCCCGATTCCACATCTCTTTTATGTTGGAGACAACTCTATCTTCTTCCAAGCTAATGTTGAAGAGTGCAGAAAGATCAAGGAATAATAAATTATTTGCATTCATTATATGTATACATGCATGGTTTGATGTTGGCGACCACAAAACTTAGAATACATACATGCATGGTTTGATGCAGCCATACAAACTTTTGGAAAGAACAATCTGGCATCCAACAGACGCCCTTGGAACTTCCCACAATTCTCTAAAGGAATTTCGAGGTAAAAATGTAGTGATACCAATCTTTTTCAATACCCTTCCCCTAAACAAAAGATATCAATTACATACTTCCTTTCCTCGAGACCAACTGGTTCATCGATTTCTATTGTTTCAAGGTGCGATATCAAACGCATCGATGACGACTCCGGAGGTCTCCATGATTACAATCGACATAAGTAGCCCTGGGGAAGATTGGAACATTACAAGTCTAGGAGAAAGAAGAAAAGTAGCAACACATGATTCAAAGTGAATGGAATCCTCAAAATGAACTTACCTCATCAAAGATCAAATGCTTCAAATGAGGTGAAAGCTCAAGAATGGAAGACACAAAATCCATATCTATACAACTACCTATTCTCAAATGGTTCAAATTGCAGAACATTATCAACCTCTTCCTTGACCATCTGCAGTAAATTAACCAAATATGAAAACAGTAATTACAGCAGTAAAACATCTTTGAATGATCAGCATAGCTATGTTCATCAAGGGAGAAAAGTTAAAAGAACTTACATATAGAGGGAG